ATACTTTATGCAAACTAAATTCATTGCACCGTCTGAAGTGACTGGGATAAGTCTTGCGATTGCCTGAACAAAGTGAGCATAATCATGATTTTTAAACGAACCGAATCAAAAGAATCAATAAATTAGGTCTGTCATGATGTGGTATAGAGATGTGAAGATATGACGTCGGAAACTGAGCTATTAAGGGACTTATCTGTTTCTTGTTTGTCTACATTGTTATACTCAAAAACGCCCTCGCGACATCCACCCATACTCATGTTAATACAGCTAATACCTCAGGAATTGTGGCAGAGAGAAGAAAAAGCGGTTGAACGATAGTGTGGAGTTTCCTTCTGCGAATGCGATCGATAGGACATAACCTCTCCAACTTGGGACTGCAGATTCAAAGTAAGGCTTAGTGGCACTATGGTACCTAAAATCCATCAAGTAGTCCGCCAATTTCGAATTCACCACTAGTAGCTATTTCAGTTCCATCTACACATACACGGCCCCACTGCCTTGTGGGTCAGAATTTCGAGTAGAAGGCTCCGGTTAGGGTTCCCAAAGAAAACCCCCTTCGTCGGTCTGGGCAACCGCGAAGTATGCAGTACCCTAAAGTCTTAGGCACCCATTTGGAAAAATCTCTTTCCGATCTATCTAGTTCTTCCTCTCAATCGCGAATAATCCCAGACGACTCCTGTTTACAGCACTCATCGAATATAACTCAGCGTTTTACCAGCAAACCCAAGCAATCAGAAGTTACGGGATTTTTGAAGCTGAAATTTCCTTTTCACTTTGCCGCGTTCAATATCCGCATACTGTATCAGATTGGTCAGCAAGCTGCCTTGGCCAGATACTTTGGAACTTTCAATTTAGATGTATGCTGTGTCTCCGAAACACGCATATAAGACCCTACTTCAATCATCTCGTTGCGTTCTCCTAACCCAACCTCGGCCTCACGCTTCACACTCAGTGTGTCAGGCAATTCCGTATGCGAAGCTCGCGGTGTTGCTGGTGTTGGAATTGCGCTGAGCTCCAAGGCTTAGCGCTCGCCTATTGACCGGATTTCAGTCAGTAGCCGACTATGCACTGTACGTCTGAACTGCACAGCACGGGTCAACAGTTTCAGAACGAAGCGTCGGTGCTTATTTGTCGTATCGGTGTATGCACCGACCGATTGCAGTGCACCTGAAATGGAGAATGAATTCTACAATGATCTCTCCCAACTGCTTCAAAGTGCTCTGTCAAAGGACATCGTGGTAGTCACTGTGGACTTCAATGCTCAAGTGGGAACCGTGGACGAATCAGAAAGACTTCTTGGCGGACCACATGCAATCCCAGCCAACCGGACGGACACCAAAGATCGTCTACTTCAACTCTGTGCGGACCACGGATTATTCCTGTCAAGCTCCAACTTCTCACACAAGAAACGACACCGCCCTATATAGAAACCACCAAACTCCTCAACACGGTGAACCCAGATCGACCACATCGCTATCAGTTACCGCCGGAGAGGGTCAATTCAAGACTGCCGCTCTTATTGGTTGTTAGGTAAAAAGACTATTTTTACCTAAAACTGACTATTTTTCGAGTGTCTGCAATTCGGAACATCTCTAATGAAAGCCAATCTCGCGGAGAATAATCAATCATATCGCGTCATACTCCGTCCGTCCGATCCGTGATCGATTGAAATTCGCTAACTCCGTGACTTATGATCGATCGAACTTTGCTAACTGTACTTAATTGGCATAATCTTTTTATTGCATTAATCGATGCTATTTTGAGTCACATATAAGCATCAGATTAAAACTTGTAAATTGACGTGCTTCCTGTGTGTCAAGTACACGTTTGCTGTGCACTAGCTGTGTTCTTGCTTACGTAGCTGGGAGAAGGCTACTGGTGCTCGTGGCGTCCAATCCGTGCTGTGATCGTACGCGTGAGGCTAAACGAATAGTGTGTCCGTTGAGGTACGTGTGTTCCTCGTGTGATATCTCGTTGTGTGTACATTGTGATCAAACGAGATCTGGACACAACACTGGTCAACACCTGTGGATACGGATCACGCTTTTCTACGAGCGAAATTCTCCTTACGCCTGGCAAACAACCGCAAGAAGGCCACCGACAACGGATACCCACGATACAACGTCAGCGATTGCTGCAAATCGGCCTTCGAAGTGAAACTATCCAATCGTCTATCAGCTCAATCACCAGCCGAAGGACTAGATGAACACTGGAAGCAAATCAAGGAAGCTATGCAAATATCGATAAAAACAACGTCGGACCCTGCTGCAAGCTAAAACCATAAACGATGCATATCGTCGACCTCGGCTGCCCTTCTGGATACCCGCAGAACCCTCCCGCCGGATGCCACGTATGACACAGCGCGCAAATCCCTCAAACGACAGCTTATCAAGAGTCTGACGAGTGACCGCGAGAAGTGGTGGATAAGAAAACCGTAGAGAGATGGAGGAGGCTGCGGCTATTCGTAATAGTCGCAATCTTTTCCGTCTAATTAGGAATACGGGCCCTATGAAAGTACTCGTAAGTGAGGTAATTAAGAAATCCGATGGCACACTGATTTTACGACCAGCAACACCGCCTTGACAGTTGGGCTGAACATTTCAAGATTCAGTTCAACTGGCCCCCATTGACATCGGAGCTGTCACCGCCCACCCCGACTGGGCAAATACTCCATTTGATGCTAGTCCTCCATCTGAAATGGAGGTTTACCGGGAGATAAGTTATCTAAAAAGGCATAAAGCCTCCGGCCCAGGCGAGCTGTCCCCATTGGCTCTAAGGATGGAGGTCTAGCCTTAGTCTCGGAGTTAACTAAACTTCAGGGTTCAGTGTGGGAGAGAGAACGGGTTCCAGCTGAGTGGTGTGAATCGGTAATCATACCGATTTCCAAGAAAGGTGACAGATCCTCTTGTGAAAACCACAGAGGATTTAGTCTAGTCGAAATCGTCTCTAAACTTCTCGCTGGAGTCATACTCCGTCGATTGTTTACTGCACGTGAATGGAGCGCGCGTGAGAACCAGGCTGGTTTTAGATCTGGTAAAGGTTGTATC